TGAACCCTATTTCTCTCATTTTACACAATCTCAGCGAATTCATCCACTCCATGGCTCCCCAACCATCTCTTTTTGGGGGGCTACATAATTTCATACTTAAAGGAACATTGAAAGAATAGCACAAGGAGCTCCCGTATAATCTTTATGCAGAGTCACCAATTCTTTACCATTTGAATGTAGACTGGAGACATTGTGGCCCTCTACCTGTAAATATTTCAATGTGGTTTCCCTAAGAACAAGGACTTATAGTAGTTTTCAACCTCAGAAAAGTTAATATAATATAATTATATAATCCACAGCCTATATTCAAATATAATTCATGGTCCAAATAATGCCCTTCAGAGCTATTTTTGCAGTCCAGGCTCACTGCTGTGCCAAGGGCACAGACCTCCCTCCAGGCCAGCTGTTCCATGGCCCCACCTTCCAAGTAAAGATTTGTACTGATGTCATCTCCACTTTAAAATGCCTAAAATCTGACTCACCTTTTCCTCCTAAAACATGTCCTCCTCATCTCCATGTCTGTCTTACTCTTTTTAATGATGTTAAAACTCTCCCAGCCATACAGAATTGAGGCTGTGGAACATCTTCTGTTCTTTATTCCCAGTTAGCCTGGGAAGTCTTCATCGTTCTTCCTATGAAGTGTCTGTCTCCTTTAGCTTGGCTCCGCATGAGCCACTGTGGGCTAATGCCCACTCATGGCACAGCTCAGACAAATTTTCCCAGTTACCCCCATCTGAAGGGCTCAGAAAAAGCTTGCAGTGATTGTTCCATCTCCCATGACCTTCGTCAGAACTCAGAGTCTGTGAAGCACCAGAATAATGGGTCAGCCAACAACACGTAGTAATTCAAAGATCTGTTTCTTTACACAGTTTCTAAACACTTCTTCCCACTCTCGTTAAATTGATGTTGACTAAACATTTCATTATTATATTAGGGTGTTGGAAATAGAGCAACTGTCTGAAACTCTCAGATGCAGAAGAAATGTGTCCAACTGATAACTAGCCATCTTCCCAAACCCACCACCAGTGGGAAAACACTCACTCCTTAATCCATTTAAAGATTGGCCTGATTCCGTAATTTAAACAGTTCTTGTAGGAAGTGTTTAATCTCTCTTGAAAAACTCACTTTCTTAGAGGTCCTTCCCCATCCCCTGTTTGCAGCAAAGAACTATCGTAGCAGAACTGAGACTGTCATTGGTTATAAAGGCTGCTTGTAAGGTTGGCTTTTGGTTGACATCTAAAAGCTCGGCTTTCCAGTTAAGATTCCCTAATAGGAATGGCTCACTGTGCCTAAACTGTGCAAACCATATGGTTTATGCTGACCACCTGCTTTCCTTCTGCAAGTCTGGAATTCCGCTGTGTTCAGGGCAGAGGGTGCCTCTGTGACCAGCTCTCACAAAAACCTTGGCCATTGAGTTTCCAGTGAGCTTCCCCAGTAGAGAGCATTTCACAACTAATTTCTGGGGTAATTAAGTATATCCTGTGTGACTCACTGGGAAAGGACTCTTGGAAGTTTGCACCTGGCTTCCCTGGACTTCAGCCTGTGTGCCCTTTCCCTTTGCTGATTTTGCTTTGTATCCACTTGCTGTAATGAATCAGAGCCCCCAGTACCCTATATGTTGGGTCTTGTGAGTCCTTCTAGCAAGTCTTTGAACCTAGAGGTAGTCTGGGTTCACACCCTGCTTTTCTCCCTGTGGCAGATTCTTATTGTCCCCAAATGGCTGCAACACATACTGCCACCCCACATGCTCTTACAATGTGATTTTGACGGAGACGCGGAATCTGTATTACCTCCCCTAGAATTGTGTGAGCTATGCCCATGGTAGAAGTGATGCTTGTGACTTCTGAAGTTAGGTGATAAAAAGCAGTATGACTTTCTCCTGGTTATCTTTGTGCCACCCTCGTTCTCAAACCCAGTTATCATGCCATGAAGAAGCCCAAGCAGGCACCTGGAGAGAACCTGTAAGGTCCCAGCAGGCAGCCAACATCAACTACCAATTGGAATGAGAGGTTTCCAGCCCCAGCCCTCAAGTCACCCTCCCCAACCCCCGCCTCCCCACTTCAGGTCTTCCCAGCTGAGGCCCCAGGCATTGTGCGGCAGAGATGCTGTCTTTCATGTACTCTTTCCAAACCCCAGATCCAAGGAATCTGAAAATGGCTGTTGTTTTGCATGCCGTGTATGTGTTGGCCTGTCACACAGCAATAGTGACTCTCCCTAGGGTGGCATCCAGGTACATGGAGACGGGACTATGACTTAGCATCTTGATGCCGGGGCAGGGGGCTGGAGTGGGAGAACAAGGTTTTGTTTTGTTTTTTGCTTGTTCTGGTCTCTGGGATGATATCCCTAGTGCACCTGATTGCTCTTGTCCTTGTTGGCATTAGTGGCCTGCAGACTTTGTTAACTGTCAGTTTTTTTCTGTTTTTCTTTCTTTTTTCTCTGGACTTAGTTAGAACCCTCGTGGCATGTTTGGGACTACTCAGTCTTATTTTTACTCCCATAGTTACTACTGACCCCGCAGAACCCCTCTGTGACGCCCATTCAGTCCCAGAGTTAATGCTCGGCTCTGCAGCTGAGAGCGGAACCCTCTCTGCAGAGCTGCAGCTACTCCAGGGCCTTGTTTATGCCACAAAATATCGAAGTGGCTCAGGATTGATGACTCTTGGTGCCTCCTTCTGCTGACAGTGCTGTCCTACCAGTGTGAATATGTGCCCCAGGCCAATGAAAGGGCAGAGGTGTTTTGCTTCAGAAGTTCTCATGAGAGATGGGGCCCAGGAGACCACCCCCAATGCCTTTTCACCGTTACTCTCGTTTACCTAATGCACTTCTCTCTGTCCAGGGCAAGCAGACTCTGCCTGATGAAAGTCTAGATAGGAATGGGTATGTTAGGAAATACATTGGCTGTTTCTGCTGTCCTGCTTTCCTTTTCCCTTATTTTCTTCTTCCTACAGTTCCCCAGGCAGACTGTTCCTATCTTCCTACTGTCCATTTCAACTCCTGTTTAAGCCTTATTGGCAAAGAATATTTCCTCCACATTTGGAGAACTCTATGATCAGAGCTTTCCAGGTTTGTTCATGGATATTCTGAGGTCCATAAGGCTGTGAGTTGCACTGCAAGGCACGTGCGTCTATGTCTGGGTGCTCCATGATCCGGTCAAGTTGGTACAAAAATTGGCCATCACACCCATTAAAAGTCACTCTTCATTCTTCTCCATCTCCTGAAAAGTTACTTTCTGTCTCTGTGGACTTGCCTATTTTGGACATTTCATATAAGAAATCATACAACGTATGGTCTTTTGGTTTAGCTGCTGTCACTTAGCATTTGTTTTCTGTGCTATAACATTGATCAGTATATTATTCCTTTTATTGCCAAATAATATTGCACTGTGTGAATAGACCACATTTTGTTTATCCATCCATCAGCTGATGACGTGAATAGTTGAGATCCATTTCTAATCACAGTTCCTGAACACAGTCCTTCTCACCTTTGATCTTAGTCCCTTCTGCTGCCAGGATCCCCTTCCTAAAACACCACATTTAATCTTGTCACTTGGCTTATAAGAATGAATTGTCCTCTTTGCCTGAGAGATGCTAAGGGAACACATTGACCTTGCATTTGACACTCTCTTCAGTTTGATAGCAGCTCACAGCTGGGTGAGAATGAGCAGACACGGCCTCTCTGTAACAGGGCAGTTTTGTCCAGTGCTGCTCAAATCTCACTGGAAGGGCCTTTATCTGATCACAAACATACAAACATATGAGCCACAAAGAAACAGACACCAAGTAGGAAAAGCAAAGGCCCAAAGTATGTAGAAGGGAACATGGATAAGATGTAGCTTTAGGGTTTGTTTGTACATCTTTTCATCACTGAAATATTAAGAATTCATGAGGCTTCTGGAAGGATCTTGGGTTTTACAGTCAGTACAGTCAGCTGTGTTAGTTTGAAGTCCTGGCTGAGTCACTTAATATTGGCACTCTTTAACTTCTCTCCTTCAGAGATTTCAGGCAAATTTTCTTTTTTCCTATGTAAAGTAAGGGTAGTTATTGCAATTGCAGAGCCCTGTTGTGAATTAAAATATATAAACACTTAACTACCATGCCCACCCCTTAATAGACACTCAGTAAATGAGAAGACACTACAGTGATTGTTATGGTTGAACATGGGGTTAAATTTTGCAGTTATTTTCAATAAAGCCAATCTAAGATCTGAACTATGTTTTTGTGTTCTTTCATTGTTTTATAGAGTTGGTAATTTAATTTCAGTATTGTTCTAGTGCTTTAAAATTAGTATCAATTTAAGGTGGAAATGAACTAATCAGTTCAAGGGCTTTATGTTCCTTGTCCACCATTACCCTTGATGTAATTTGAAAAAAATCAGTATTTCCTTTGGGAAATGGTCAGTGATAGTGTCTCATTTTATCACAATACAAGCTTTTATGAAGTGATCTAAGGATAAATACCTTCAACATTGTACTGGATTACACTGAGGTAAATTTCTCATAGGAATGAATCTTTGAACTTGGCATTCACTAGCAAGTGTGACTTGATAGAAGTTATTAAAGATATAACCCAAGAAAAAATATATAACCTAAGATATTATTCTTTGCAATGATTATTACACATTAATTTTAAAAAGGTGTCGAATGGTAGATAAATTATAATTGTTTGGGTCTTTTATAGATGATCATAAAATTTAAATTATCCTTTATTTGTAAGTTTATGATTTAGAACAATTTTGAATGGAAAATAATTTATTTTTAGTTTCATAAATAAAACAACCATGAACTAGTTTCTTCTTTCAAAATGATAAGTACTTAGAAGTGCAATAGCCATTTTTTTCATTGAGGCATTTGTAATTTGAGAGGTTAAATTAATCAAGTACTTGAAAATCAACCTTTGTTCCTAATAAGACTAATACATTGAAGATTGACTGGTGGGTATCACTTCTCTTTACATGTTTTAGTTATTCAATATCATTTCTCTTTCTCTCCCCTCCCCCCATAGGATTCTCCTTGTCAAGATGATTATTCTGTAGTCCACAGGAAATGTCGTTCTCAGTTCACAGATCTAGATGGTTCCAAAAGATTTGGCATCCACACTTGGCATGATGAGAGTGGGATTTATGCTAATTCACATGTAAAACAAAGACTCTACCCGTTCACTGGTGGCCCCATTGTCCCATTTTTAAAATAATGTATGAAATCCGGTTCTCTAACTAATGAAAGAATAATGGATTTAACAGTTGATGATTTTTTTATCCTAATAAATGCAATGGAAATACTTTAGTAGTTTTCTTTAAAAGCAAAATTTTATGTTCTAGACCAGTGTGCATAATCATTTTAAAAGCTACTCTGGTATTTTCCAAAGTTTAGTATGTATTCCACTGAGGTATGCGATTCCAGATAGTACTTGGTATAATTTTATTTTATTTTACTTATGGAGTGTGTATTTATTTGAATTTTATTAGGAAAATGCATAAAGCTAATACAATCAACCTTATGGTTGCTTAGGATATGGCTAATTTTTAAAAAGTAAGTGAACTTAAATTCCATCTTTAAGTGAATAAACATAAAGGTGATGTTTAGATTTGACAGGAAACTCCACCAGTGGACACTTGGGTGCCGCTGGCAGCGTAAAGGTGTTGGCTGTGTGTGTGTGTGTTGGAGGACCGTTTATAGACTTTGATTCGTCTGCGGTGGCCTGCCGCACTGTGGGTGGCCTATTCAGCACAGTGTTTTTCCTTATTCAATATAACACTTTTTGAGTGTAGGGATAGCAGAGATGCAGACAAAATTTTAGTGAAACTTTATGACGAGAAAATCCAATAATCTAGCATTATATTCAGAAGAGATCTTAGTAGCTGTTTTGGTTCGCCTTCCAATTTTACAGGTGAGCTGAGACCCACAGAGGTTTCAGTAGGTTGCCCAGGGTTACACAAACAAATTCTAGTTGACCTTTGAGGTGAATTTGAGCTCTTATTTTTACTGAGGATGGGTTTAATTATTTGGTCACCTTAGGCTAAATATACTCATTCTAATCCTTTAAAAAATAATTTCATAAAACAAGGTTTCATGATAAATGCTAATTTACCACTGCCGCCAACTCTTGATTAGCAAAATATAAGAAAAACTATAAGCCTATGAGTGTTGAAATGATAATTAATACAGAAAATATGGATAAGTGAGGTAAGCATTCATTAGCAAAGCTCTACTATAATTTCTTGCTACTTTAAACTGTGTCTATATACACACACAAATATGTATATTATATATTTATGAACGCACACACACATATATGTATAGGGTTGGCCTTTTCTGTAAGATGGCTTTAGTAGCACTTCATTGTCTTTAACTTCATTCAAAACAATTTTATTAGGTTGTATTGTGACAGCTGTCATACCGGCATGCATTTAGAAAAACTTATCACAATTGGTGAATTTTTGTAGCCATTTTAATATTGAAGATGAAAGTAAATATGCGACATTTTTAGCATGTTATGCTTTATTATTTCAAGAAAGGTAAAAATGCCACTGAACCACATAAAGATTTGTGCAGCGTATGGCGAAGGTGCTGTGACTGATCAAACATGTCAAAACTGGTTTGTGAAGTTTTGTGCTGGAGATTTCTTGCTGAATGATGCTCCATGGTCAGGTGAACGGTGAACCACCTGAACTTGATGATGATCAAATGAAGACATTAATAACAATTAACATTATACCACATCGAAGATAGCAGAGCTATCTCACCATCCGATGCCAAGCTACTCACCATTTTCTTTTGTAAGGAAAACATCTTAGCGGTCATGTAATTACCTTTTAAGAATACCTGGTACCTGCAAAATAAAATTAATCTATTTTCGCAGGAATTCTATATTGTCAAAATGATTAACATCACATTTCACATTTTCAAATTGGATTTGATCACTAGAGAATGTCCTGTTTAAGAAATTCCCACACTCCTGATGGGTGCACATGTGTGCTTGATAGGGCTCCACCTGACACATCAAAACAAAACTCTCTCTTGTGTGTTTATAAAGTTAGCTTCCCTCTTTCCTCTCCCTCCCTCTCTCCCTCTCCCCCACCTATGTTTCTCTGTCTCTCCATATATGTGTGTGTGTGCATATTTGCGTGTATGTGTATATATACAAATTTAGTGTTTTTCTTTCGGCCTTGGTGCGAGCCCACTAGGACAGAATGAGGACTGCAGCTGGGAGAATGGGAGATTCGTTGGGCAGATCCAAAGCAAATATATCACAACGGTGATCTTGAGTTAAATTTAACCCACAGATAAGTTTTGCTTAGTATGCCAGCATGTTCTCTTTTTTATTACTTAAAAAAATCAAACTGAATTTTATAAATTAGGATATTTTACTTAAAAATCTGGATGTCTGTGTCCTAGACAAATTGGCATATTGGGCAGCACTAGGCCTTGTTTTGATTCGGCGACGATCAGCAGGGGTATGGCATGGGGCCCCTTTAGACGGGGCTCAGTTCATGCTTTTGTCGGAGTTCTCATCTGTATGCCTCACTCATTGTGGAGACATTATAACCCTCTACCTAAGGATGAGTGGAACAAATATGAAAGAATAAGTTGTTTGGAGGACAAAAAGGAGTTGTACGAAAGTGGCAAAATTGACAGCTTCTTGGTGCCTGAGATTCGGATAGGGAAGGCAGAGTCTGTATCCTAACAGTGGGGACACAGCAAATCTGGTTGAGTGGGAGCAGGAAGGCACTCCCACAGTTATGTGGTGTAGAAATCGGAGATGGGGAGTGGGCTGAGGGCTTCATAAAGACCTGGTCCCTAATTGTCTTCTGAACGCCGACACCCCCAGTTTCTCACAGCACTGGTACCGCTGACCGGAGACTCCTCCTGTGAGCCACAGATGCACCGCCCTCCCTCTTCCCTGCTGCTCTACCACTGGCTCGTCTCCTCCTACTGCTAATGCCTAGATACTTCCCAGGGTTGCCCTTTACCCTGTTCTTCATACGTGTCTTGGGCTCAATGATTACCTTAATGTGGAACTGTAATTTCATTCTGTTATTTACCATGGCACACATGACAGCAGCATTCACAGTCGTGACCCAGTGCCTGGCATATGCCCAGAGTGTAATGTGGTCCCAAGATTAGTTAGGAAATAAAACAGTAATTGTGGTGATTATTTTCATGTGCCAACTGGACTGGGCTACTGTGCCCAGATATAGGGTCAAACATTATTCTGGATATTTTCCTATGAGGGTATTTTGGGATGAGATTGACATTTAAATTGGTGGACTTCCACTAAAGCAGATTGCTCTTCACAATACGTGTGAGCCTCATCCAATCAGCTGAAGACCTGGATAGACTACAAATGCTGACCTTCTCCGAATGTAAAAGGAGTTTTGCAGTAGACTTTCTTCAGACTTCAACTGCAACATCAAATCTTCCTTCGTTTTTCAGTCTGAGGCCCCACCCTATAGATTTTGGTCTTAACACATAAACATAGACACACACATCCTATGGTTCTGTTTCTCTGGAGAATCCTGACTGATACAATAGTGCACAGAATGCTTTTTGGGGGCAAGGAGGGTGGGCATGACAGTTACAAAAGAATTTCACAAAGGCGTGACATAGATTAGATTGGCTGCAGACTATAAAATATTTAGATTGGGCTGGGTTTAAATGCACTGCTTTCTTTCCCACCTAGGAAAACTTTTCAGAATATAGGTTAGTAAGAGTGATGTTATTACGGGTATACATTAGTTCACATACTTTTGCCTGCAAGAAACAAAATGTTAAAACTGGCTTAAATAATAGCACATTTGTGATCTCTTGTAACAACAAGTCCAGGGGTAGGGCAGGCCCCCAGCGCACCATGTCCAGGCTCCATGGTTCCTTGCCTCTGCCCTCCTCAGACTGGCCACAAGGTGGGTAAAGCTGTTCCAGGCCTCCTGTCCAGACATGAAAATGTCCAGAGGAAAAAAAAATGGTGTCTCTTGCATGTGTTTCTCAGGAGCCAGGAAACCTTTCCCGGAAGCCTCTTCCATACTATCTTAGTGGCCAGAATTGGTTCACACGCACAGTCCTAACACAATCCCAGGTGAAGGCAATGCCATGGTTGGCTTAGACAAACCAGAATCTCGTTTGGAGCTGTGAATGGGGTTAGCTTCCTCTGGATCTTGTTGGTAGCTTTTGGAGGCAAAGCAGGGTCCTATCAGGAGGAGAGAAGAGAAGGGGGCAAGTGGATGTTGGGTAGAAAGCCAACAAAGTCACCAAATGGGTCATGAGGAAGTTGGCTTTCCCTTTTTTCCATGCAAACAAATGCTTTCTGGGTTCTTTGCCAAACAAAACCTTGCCTTGTTTAAAAAAAAAATTCAAACCGCATAGAGCATATTATTTTGTGAGACCTTACTGCAGTGACTGGGGCATGAGGACGAACACATGAGGATTTACCTGAAAACGCCTATTAAATGTCTTTGTTCTCACATCTCTTCCTCCTCCTCTTTCTCTTGAATCTTTATAGTCATCAAAACTTCACATTCCAACACACCTTCTCCCACTTCTCTATTTCAGAATTTGAACTTACTGCTTTTTCCTGTCCTTTGCCCGTAAACTCTATTTATTCCTAATCTGAGGACCTGGAAGGCTATCCTCCACCCTCGAAGGATTATCAAAGCATCCATTCAGTCGCCAGTTTCTGAGAAAAATTTTCTTCATTTCATTACACAGAGTAAGGTCTTCAATACCCTTTATGTTTTGAAAGTGTAAATCCTTTGCAAACTTGGTATTTAGACTAATATTAGTAAAAAGCTACATGCGACCTATCTCAAAAGTGATTGTAATGGATCAGAGTCCTGAGACTGGGTGGCAGAGACCTTCTAATCAATAATGATCAGTGACTCCAGCCTTGCCCCTGAGCTTGATCTCATCACATGCACTGCCTGTCTCCACCAGGCAGTGTTACTTCAGAACGATGCAAACTGCTCTCTCCTGCTTTTGGTTGCTGTTAACGGCATCACCATCCAATGATCAGTTCAAATTTCTTCCTTGCTCTTTATATTAATATAGCACTTCCTGAATTTTTATCTGGGGGCATTAATAGTTGTTCCTTGAAGAAAGTGTTCTGTGCCCAAATGCCTTTGGGGAATGCTGTGTGTCACATCTCTGCCTTGGAGCGTTACAGTCCCGTTCAAATGTTAAAGACCCTGAGAAATTCTGTAGAACAGAAGGCAGTTAAACCCTATTTAATCCAGCATTTCCCAAACTATTTCATCCTGAAAATCATTTTTGCAGGGAATATCTGTT